TTTAGGGTTTGGGATTTTAGGATTTAGAGTGTCTGGTTTTTTATTTTAGTATTATGGGTTTTAGGGTTTGGGTAGTGAGGTTTAAGGTTTTGGGGTTTAAGGTTTAGGATTTGGGGTTTAGTATAAGAATATCTTGTGAAAGAGAGAGAGTTTATCTTATTTTTCTATTGTTTCTCTTTTTGTTCCAGAAACAGAAAAGTAGATTTTTTTTACTTCTTATTTCTGTTCCAAATTTATTCTCTGACCACTTTTCTATTCCAGGGAAAAAAAACTAACTGACGTTACTAAACGGATTTCTTTTCTTTTTTCTGTTTCGGGGAACAAAAAAATAGAAAAACAGAGAAACAGAAACGTTACTAAACAGACCCTAAATGAATCGCTATTCAAACCGCATTTTCATCATGTTGGACGACTTCCATTTAACATATATCTCGATACCATGAAAGGGTGATCAGGCTTCTATTCATATGTCCTCTGGCGGCGTCACTGACGGCACGATTCAAAGTGAAAATCTACGCATTTTTTACCTATTTTCTCATCATACTCCACCAACGTGAAGTGTCTTATTCTTTTCGTCTCTGTTTGTTTTTTAAATTATTTATTTTTCACATAATAAACGCTACCTTAGCAGCCATCACAAGTGCCACGCATGCATAATGCATTTCTCTCTAACTCTACTTTTGTAATCTATGATGAGACTTTCCTCAGGTGACCCATACAAAGTCCACCGACCTGAAAAAAGTCAACTTTTTTTGGCCTTTTCCCTTTTTTGCTTTTTAAGGCGACGACCTTTGGAAGCTGTGAAGAGATGGAGCTGACCAGGGACAACGCTGTTCCCATATGCGGCGAGCTGTAACCGCTGCACCAATTCATTTGTTTAATCATCCCCTAACCTTATCTGGATCACAAACAGATTAAAGAGAGAAACTTCAATTTTGCCTCTCTCTCTTTCTTTCTTTATGCCTCGACAAGAAAGACAAACAAAAGAAAAGATCAGGAGATGGGCAAGTGGTCATCATATTGTTATTGAATTTTCGCATTCGATGATGGTGTGCATGGATCAAACTAGTTGGGTCGTGCGTCTAATTCATACACGCGAGCCTGTTCCGTAGGCAAACCCGCTAGGGCTCACTCGTGTTTATGCACGACCAGGCGGCTTTATTCATCGCACACAGTGCTAGTTCGAGGTTGCGCGGGATTTATGTATCAAATATGTCGGGATTGGGAGTTTCGAGTTCTGCAAGAGGAGCCAAAACTTTTCAAAATACAATTAAAAGTTTTGGTTTTGGTACTCTTTTTCATTTCCACCATAGGAAATTTTGGAATTCAGGTGGTAAGGCATCCTAAGCATATTGACGATGAAACATTGTCTTCGAAACACATGAGAATATTGGGTTTTGATCTTTGATGTGCTGTTATATCAAGGTAAATCGGACGGTTCCTCCTCGCTTTAAATTGATTAGGATCGCAATCTTTTACTCTGCTTCTTCTTGAGCGGTCGACGTGCATTTTGCCTCGATGGTTTATGTCCGGTGGTCGGGTACTAGCCCGGACTAAGGAAGAACCGGCACGCCGTGGTTTGGGCCGCGAGGACTGTTCATGGGCCCCCATAAGATGCCTCGCACCAAGAGATGACTCATGGGACACGCCAATCTCTTCGAATCCGAAATGAGTGCCACCATGAATGATGGGCGAGCGCAAAACGGTTCCCAAGAAGCCTCGATCTATAAGCACGACATTTCAAGTCCCACTTTAGATGAAAGAAACCTATGTTGATTCATAAGTAAGACTTATCTTTAAACAGTCGCAATCTTTTCTTTTCTTTTTATCAGTCCTACTCCTACTTCTACTCCTACTTCTACCTTTTATCTCACTTTCAAACTTTTGCATTGCCTCCTGCAGAGCGTGGAAGTCGAAATCCACATCTAAAACTACATGTCCCTATCCCCGGCCCCCTGAGAAGGTGGGAAATCGAACTCCCCACCTCCCCTTTCTCAAGTGAGAAGAGTGGCCACTGGGGCAACCCCCAATAGTTCAACGGTCGCAATACTGAGTGGTCACATCTAAGAAATCAAGGCCCGATCGCGGGTTTTACAGCCAAGGGCATATATCGAGCAAAATGGGCTCTGATGCATTTCTGATAAGTCTATTTAGTGATTTATAAAGAAGCCTCGCTCTCAAAGCGTGATAGTCTCAAGTTCCATGCCGGATGGAGAAGACCTTCCGATCTAATTAAGAAATAAGAATACCTTCCGAACGGTCACACCTTAAGTGATCACATCTAAGTACTCCTTTTTAAGTTTTGACCCACATGAAAAGAGGATTGAACGTTTCAAATGGTATCTGAGCAGAATTCCCCTCAATCAAACATAATAAAATTTAACTTTTGCTAGGCTTCTAGGATGAGGAGTGTCCCATAATGAATTGGATGACAGATCAAGCAAGGAAATAACACCAGTCTTACACTGAACATTGGATAGTAACGATTTTTGGCCTAATTTACTCGAATGGATTGAATTGGTACAAATACGAAAATGTTTATGACTAAATTGGTTCAATTAAAAGGTTTATGATTAAATTAGTATAAATATAATAGATTTGAGATTATTTTTGATATTTTTCCCCGCGAAACGAATAATAATTAGCAAAAACATTAATTTTCTGAAAGAAACATGCGCGCTAGGCAAGCTTGATGGGACAGGGTAGAGCAGCGGGACGAAGCAAAGCCATTAAATTTCGGAGGGATCCCGCGTGGTTGAAAAGCATCACATGAAGGAGATGACATTCCACTGCAAAAATTAAATAAATGAATAAATTTAAAAAAATTATTTATTTATTCATTCTTTTTGTTTTTTCTTGGGTGATGGGGTTTCTGAATGGTCCCGTCTAGAGATTAAATGGCAACTCCCCCAAATAGTTAGGTGGGCTTCAAGGAGGAGCGATTCCGGTCTATGTTACATTAATGCTTCATGTGTGTGGCAACATGGCTAATGCCATTCGCACTTCGGAACTGTGGACACTCAATTTTTTTGGACCAAAAACTCATGGGTATGTCTTTTAAAGCTCAATGTACCGCAAACTGAGTCGAGCTACTCTCTAACGTTTTGATCTCGAGTGGCCGACTGCTCGACCTAAGTATCGTTTTGTTGGTTCGCCCCCCGAGTCCGACCGACTGATCGATCGATCAATTGACTTATGACGGATGAATAATTATTTCGACAAGAATTGTAGATGATGTGTTTTGCTCTTAGCTTCTTTTGATGACTAGAAGTTTTATCTTAGGCGAGTAAATTTTTTGGGGGTCATTTATGCGTTTTACTTCTCAATTAGGTTCACTTCGCGTGTGCATCCCGATCTCTCAAAATAATCGATTCGAGCTAATGTCAATTCAAACTCAAGCATGTCGATAATTATGAACATGAAAAAGGCCAAGAAAAAAGCCTCCTTAAATATAGTAGCTTATCTCTTTTGAAAGAGGAAAACCCTAATCTCTCCCAAAATAAAGCCTCCCTTAGAGAAACTTCACAGCTCTGAGCTTCAATTGAAGCCGAGAGCCTGCTTTGCTCTGCTTTTCCTTTCTAGGCCCTGATTTCTTGTTTTTTTCTCTCTTGATCTAATGATTCTTTTTTCACCTCATTTGGCGTCTTCTTTTGCTCGTTATTATTGTTTTTCTTTGCTCGTCATGGTGAATAAATATGCTTGTAGCTGAAAATTTGGTGAGAACATCATCACCAACCCAGTTAGCAAGATGCCCGAGACATGGTTATATGACTTCTCCGAGATTCGGTGGAAGGTTGATCTAAATCTATGAGCTTTTCTCTCTCGATCTAAGTCTAGATTTAGGAGTTTCTTAGAGACGTTCAATTTGTGATTGTTGTTGTTGTCGTCATCTCTGTATGGCGATGGTGTTGAGGACACCCAGCCTAGGCATACACTACAAACCATAGTTTCTGGGGAAGAAGATCTCAACATATTCCCATCACTGACGGTTCCGATGATTAGTCGCTGATTGTTTTATGGTACTCTGACAAATCTGATCTTTTGGGATAAGAGCGTGCTTATAGCTGCAAACTGTACTATTTTATTTTCTGGGTTTTGTTTTGTTTTGTTTTACAACTTTTTTGGGATTTGCTTTTCCTGAGAAGTTTTTTTATCTTTCACTCAATTTGATAATAACAAATGAATGAAATTTTCTTTCGACAAAAAAAATATATCTTAGCATTTTGTTTGGTGAACGTGAAACCGTGAACTACTTGTCGAGCATAACCACCAATTTACTTAATTGTAATTATGTACATTTAGATTTTTTCTTTGGTCTGTTGTACATTTAGATTTTATCTCATTAGATAAGTGCGATTTCGACGCGTAGATTGGTCCTTGAAGTGAGTTGGAAGCGTGCAAATAGATGTTGAAAAATTGCAGGCAAATGATGTCAAAGATTTGAATTTAGAAAGAGATCATGTTCTGATGATCAATATATGCATCTAAAAATTCATTTAGCCTGGACATATAGATGAAAACCTGAATGTCGATTCCAAAACACTTTGCATCGAATTGACGCCTGTTTGTTAGCGCTCAAATAATGACGTATGAATGATAACCAAGGTGTTAATTCTCGGAAAATACATAATGTCATATGGGTTAAAAGGGTTGTCTTAACGAGTGCTCCAGAACATTTCTTAAGTATGAGAAAAATAATGTCATATGGGAAATAATGTCATATGAGAAAAATAATGTCATATGTTAAGTACATAATGTGAGAAAAGTAATGTATCAGAAACTGCAAAATTTCGTTATGCGATCGCCCCAACGGGCACTTGTTAACAAAATCCGAATTGAAAAATGCGAGAACTTATTGCACGCTCTCACATACATTTGCACCATCAAGTCTATCGTGGTCCAGTCACATTTACATCTAGCGCCATCGGATTCAACGTATGGATATAAATTCAGGGTGCTTGGTAAATGAAAATTCGACTTTTCTTGAGCTATGTAATGGCTCATTCCTGCAAGAAGAATCAGTTTGAAAAAAGCAATTACAGAAATGAGAAATTTTTACAGCATGCGTGGTACGCTGTACGTTTCTTGTTATAAATATTCATTTGGTACAACAATTGCACAATATCATAGCAAGCAAACCAATCACTCATTCAACAAAACTGACATTACACGACACCGGATATTCAAAATGTTAGTCATTTCTACAGTCTCAAAGTTCTGATTCATTGACGTGCGGTGCATCCGTCACGTAAGAAACTTCCTCGTGATTTTAGACCGTTTCGCTCCATGCGAAAGAAATCGAAAAAGATAACACTCGATCGAAGGAACCGCTTGCCGGATTTCTTCCAAAATCTCCGGACTGTAAGCAGAAAAAACATGTGAGGATATCCCATGAACCCATGGTACTTAGCATAAAAATGATTTGCTAACCAATGCTAGCCAAAAAGTGGTGACAAACTATAGTTGATAATCTAAATAAATATTCATAAATCAATGAGACTCCACAATATCACTTTAGATATTGATTTTATCTGATGCAAATATCACAAGTTAGTGTACAAAAGTGGATATGACTATACCTTTTCTAATAAAAATTTCTCATGAGCTTGGTTTTCTCCAAGTACTGAAATACAAATGCACTTGCAGGATACCTTAATAATTTTCATTAAATTTTTGGACGACTATATCTTCTCAAACATTAATTGTAGGGTTACAATATATTGTTCACAAAGGACGTCAAATCAAGGACATCACGCGGCTCATAACCACCTTAAACTTACACGTCCGCCATACCACTCTAACCACGTCCGGAGAAATTGTTGTCTTCTTCTTCTTTTCCGCTCTTATTTTTCGCATTTATTGTGCTTCTTATTATAGAAAATTTCACATCTAAATACCCAAGTCCCAGATTAGTCATAAATGTACTCAATCTGACAATCCGTGTCACCAGATTAGTCTAATTTAAACCATAAACATCAATGGTTAAACAACAAAGCACATCATTGTGTGACTATATTCTGAAACTCTTCTCTTCCTCAATAGGACCACAACCTGTCAATAACCCTCCAGAAGCCTCACCACGCAGACAAAACACATACCATATATAAACCATGTCCAGCGAGCTAGGGTTTCTTGATGATGCCACAAAAACCAAACACGAATCCATGAGACAAGAAAGAGGAAAAGGACAATTTATTACCTTGGTTGCTGGAAAAACCTAATAATAAACTTACCATCAATGCTGCTTCAGATCATGCTTCGAGATGACCTAAAAAATTGTGGGGCTTCGGTGAACCCTCGCCGCGTAAAAGGAAGGGTGGAGAAATTGGAAGAGCACTGAGATATTGGCACGGCTCAATCAAAGACCAAGAAACAGAGAGAGCAAACCACTCTCGTCGAGTATTTTGCTGCAACAAACGACGTCTTTAGGTGGTGTCTGAGTGAACCAGGCCAATATCCAAGTTAACTGTTCCATGTACACAATCATAGTATAGTAAAGAGGGGGCGAGACAGAGAGAGAGACAGTTCTCTATTATTGCATGGACGAGGATATGAAAGAGATCATGAAGAGAAACTCCATCTCTCTCTCTCTCTGAGAGAACAGCAAACAAACAGAGAGAAGAAAGAGCTCAGAGAGAGAGAGAGAGAGAGAGAGAGAGAGAGAGAGAGGAGTGAAGGGGAGAGGCGGAGGAGCGGTAAGAATGTCTGAGGGAGGGGGATTTAAGAAGACGCAAAGAGGGGTGGGAGCATTTAAAACCCGCGACTACCAAAGCAGAAATTTGGGCCACTGCATTTAAGCCCCCCCTGTGTCTGTTTGTGTTATTCTCTCTCTTTCTCTCTCTCTCTCTAAATTATTTTCTCTACTTGTTTTCCCCCCCTCTAGACTCCATTTATGCACGCCACCTTGGAGGGATTCTGAAACCCTAGTTTTGTTACATGGGACATCGACCTCATAAGCCTTGTCAAGAGAGAGTACACCGACCGTCCATGTAAAAAAAAAAAAGAAGAAGGTGGATTATATAGTTATAGCTAAAGAACTGAGAAAATGTTGTAAATTGTTAAGTTATTTTTTCGGATCATATGAAAACCGGGACTTCAATTAGATTTTATAGCGCTCCCTGAAATCAAGGCATGATTCTAATAGTCGGTTTTGGAGAGTCGTGACTTTCGAGGTGATGCTTATTAACAAACTTGAAGAGTCAAAAACACTTTTCCAAAATTGTTATATCGCAGATATTAGTGAATAATTATCCGGCCTCCGTAGAAACTTAGGCATCTAGAACTTAGGTCACCAGGGTCAGCTAGCAAAAAAAGGCACACTAAGTTATGCAAGAATAGAAAATTATTGTTTATGCCCATCTACCAAATCATTGACATATTCGAGACTTTTAAATTTGCTAGAGCATGTCGAGTGAAAACGGTGAAAGTACATCTTTTTTATGGCATAACATGGAGAATTCCATCAACATCTTGGGAAAAAGACATGGTTTGCCATTTCTATCGACTTCTCTGTGGCACTGTATTAAATCACAGTACAAAAGAATAGTTTATAAATCATGTTGAAGGATCGGCACAAAGATATCGTGGTGGAAAAAATCTTGTTCTTCACCAACATTAATCAATTGCGGCCGAGGTCGAAATGACGAAATTCACATCCAAAAGAAAGGAGCAATTATGTCCTTCTGAATGAAAACGAGTTCTTGATTCATGGGGTTTGCAAGAAGTTCTGAAAACAGAGGGGGGATCAGAAAAACAAAACCCTGAAAACAGAGAAACCTGAGATACCCGACGAAGCGATCGACCATATGAACAATGAAGGCGATACTTACAGTACCGAACCCGAGAGAAGGAGGAAGAAGAACCACCCCCGCTTTAAATGAGAAAGAATCTCTCTCTGCAACGCACAGTCCCTGCAAAAAAAGAAAGAAAGAAAGAAAGTAAATGAACGAAGACATTAATAAGCAAGGTGCCCATGACCCATGTCCCTCTTTTCAGATCTCTCTTTATGAACCCTAATTCAATCGTATCGGCTCCTCTTTTGGACTTTTCTCTTTCGAGCGAACGAAGGGAAAAGAACGCAGTTGACCTTCGTCGTTGTCGTCATCGATCATATAAACGGTTGATTATGTAGAGCTACTTAGTTTAATTAGGAAATGAAAGGCAGTGGTTGACTTCATAACAATGCAATAGGCAACATCTTTGACGCTATACACATGCGTTAATAACCCTAAGAAGAAAGATCCTGCCAAACTTAGGTCGTTTCTTGCTGAGGATACTTGAAGCCTTGATTCGGCAATGAAAAAGGGGCATTGGATGAGAGAATTCGTCGTATCGTCACTTAACCTAGAATGGGTTCTTTGCAAACAGATTACAAATGGCAACAGAAACAAAACAACAGAGCCAAGATTAGGGTTTCTTTCCACGAAGGGGGCCTCGGGGATTTTCTTTCTTCTTTTTCTTGACGCTCTGTGTGAATTGGGTTGTTCTTTTTTTACTGAACCATGCACAGTTATGGCGGTGTCCAGTAAAAGCTACTTTGCATCCCACCACATGCGGATATGTTCAGTACACTTGTACTGGTCTTCCCCTTAAAGCAACAGCAGCATCAAAACCCTCGAATTTATTATGAGAGAGAGAGAGAGAGAGAGAGAGAGAGAGAGAGAGCATTTCAATTTCGAAATCACATCTACTTGATAAGTTATATTTGACTGAATGACCTTCAAATTTATTGGTGATTGTGTCTCTGATTTTGTTCTTGATCCCCACCCAGATTGTGATCTAATTTTGATGAAGCCGGGGCCAGATTTCAGGTTCATGCAATCTACTCAAATTGCCATATATGCTCTGTTATGTCAATGGTGCAATAGATGCATAGGATGCTTTCTCGTGAAAATAAGGAGTTATGCATCTATTCAAATGAACAAAAGTAAGGTTGAGAATATCTAATGAGGTTTCTTGGCTAAGTATTGTCGAATTCTTAGTAGTCATCTGGGAAAAAGACCAATGCATTCGCATTTGCGTAGCTACCTTCCTTCAAGTGTAACCACGTTGAATATTTCATTTTAAATACTCGTCTTCAATAAAGGCAATGCACTTCTTTCGAATCCAACCCATTTGATTGGGTAGGGTTCGATGTACGGACTATGCGTGACCCTATCTATCTCGCATAAATTGCCTTAATTTAGCATCATGATATTCGGAGGATCAGTAAGTAAAATTTCATTAAAAATCTCATCTTGCAAGGTGGTTCATATACAAACAAATTATTCAAATTGTACATATGAGCTACCGTCCTTTCAAACCGAATCGGTAATTTGACTTTTGTTTCCCCTTTCTTGATTTGTACAAAAGAACTTATATTAAATCACAAGCCAGTTCTACTTCAACATAATGATTACTTTTTGTGTTCTTTGGGAGCAAGTAGCTTATGATATGTGAGCTTATAACGCATGCCTTACAGGGGAATCTCATGCGCTCATCACATGTAAATCGCATGATAATTTCCTTGCCGTTTACTTTCGTTGGTCAAAGGCTTTCAAAATCAAATGAAACACTCCCAAGTAACTTAAGGATGTAATTAATCTTAACAAATGTATGTGGTACTTGAGAGACCCCATCGTATGTATCTTGATGATATGAAGGAATAAATTAGTAGCAAATTTTGTCAGTCTATATCAATGTTCTTGACCTCAATAAGATCATCAATTTGGAGGAAGTCTGTCATTCGCAGTTCTTGCGTCACTTCATCTTGACTTGAGAATCGGACGCTTCAAATAGAAAACTCATATATGGTTTTTTAGTCCGTCCAACATGAGTATAATATAGAGACACGATGCTTGGTGTGGTTTGATTTCGCACTAGAACACAATCAAAGAGTTTTACGTTTATGTTTTTTTTTCCTTTACCCCATATGCAATATGAGTGATTCTCGTCGAAAAGTGATCATCCTTTTGACATTGATATAAGAATGTGCCTTAACAACGGGCGTTATGCGCTTGAGCCAGCCGGTGTACTATTCGTGACCTTGGATAGTACATGCCACACAGTCATTTGAAGCGAGTCAACAGCCCGAATCGTGACACTTATCGACTGTAGCATTCGGTTATACATGCTAACACTAATGAAGACATCAACACTAGGCCCAAAGCACAAATTTGACGGACTTGGGCAAGCGATTTCCTCCTTGGTCTTGGGAAGTTCAACCAAGTGATGTGGACTAAGTTCATATTTTCTCTAGAAGCCAAAACAGGAGACCAATTACTTTTCGCACGTGGTGTGCTCAAAACGTTCACAATGTTTGGTGAGTGAAATAAAGGTAGATCCAACATTACCTCTCTCAAATTCATGTACAATCTGTCCTCCCTATAGAACTTTCAAAGTAAGATTTAGCAAACTTTTTCCTTCTCTCCTAATCTCAAACTTTGTGTCCCCCATTGCTTCGACATGTGATGTACGTGCAACTTTGTCCGAAGCTAGCATCAATAGCAAGTCACATGGCCAATTAATGCATCTAATCAAACCATTCAATGGTGTGTAGAAAACTTCCATGTCGACTTCAAAGATAAAGAGAAATGTTAGGAATATTGAGACTAACATGAGTTTACTTTAGGAAAGGATTAGGCAATTGGTTAGTGAAAATTCAAATGACCGGATCGTGTTTAAGTAATCTGAAAGTTTATCACGTTACAAGGGAAAAGTGTCACAAAAGTCCTAAACCTTTTGCATTAGTGCCAATTTAGTCCTAAACCTTTTTTTGATGCCAATTTAATCTTAAACCTTTTGCATTTGTGCCAATTTAGTCCTAAACCTTTTTTTGGTGCCAATTCAGTCCTAAACCTTTTGTTTTTGTGCCAATTTAGTCCTTCCGGCCAATTTTGACCGGAATTTACCGACGTGGATGCCTGCCGGCCGGCGGCCACTCACCGGTGCCGACGTGGACAGCTTTAATAATATTTTAATAGTTTTTTGAATTTTTCTTTTTTTTCACTTTTTTTTTTTTGGTCTCTCCCTCCTTCCTCTTGCCGGTCGCCGGTCCGGCGACCGGCCAGAGGCCAAAGGCCTGCGAGCTCGACCTCGCCGGCCACTGGTGAGGGCGAGCCTCGCCATGGTCGAGCGAGGCCCGACCTCGCCGGATCCTGGCGAGGTCGAGCCTCGCCCGGCGACCTCGCCGGATCCGGCGAGGTCGGGCCTCGCGGACCATGGCGAGGCTCGCCCTCGCCGCGGCCTCTCGGCGAGGGCTCGAGCCTCGCCTTGGCCGCCCGGCGAGGCCGACCTCGCCGGATCGCCGGGTGAGGTCGAGCCTCGCCCAGCGACCTCGCCAAATCCGGCGAGGTCGGGCCTCGCCCAACCATGGCGAGGCTCGCCCAAACCGCGGCCTCCGACGAGGGCTCGAGCCTCACCCGACCAAGGTGAGGCTTGCCCTCGCCAGTGGCCGGCGAGGTCGAGCTCGCCGGCCTCTGGCCGGTCGCCGGACCGGCGACTGGCCAGAGGAAAGAGGGAGAGACCAAAAAAAAAAAAGTGAAAAAAAAGAAAAAAATAAAAATTCAAAAAAATATTAAAATATTATTAAAGTTGTCCACGTCGGCGCCAGTGACAGGCCGTCGGCCGGCAGGCGTCCACGTAGGCAAATTCCGGTCTAAATTGGCACAAAAACAAAAGGTTTAGGACTGAATTGACACCAATTTAAAAGGTTTAGGACTGAATTGGCACCAATGCAAAAGGTTTAGGACTAAATTGGCACCAAAAAAAGGTTTAGGACTAAATTGGCACTAATGCAAAAGGTTTAAGACTTTTTTGGCACTTTTCCCCACGTTACAATATTCATATCCAGCATTATTCATAGATCAGATGCCTTGTAACACGGGATTTTCCTAAGTAAAATGCTGATCCATATTAGATGATGCGACGAACGAGTTTTCATGTATTGCAAGGTTTTCTCGTTACATATGTTGTGACGATTCACGAGATTGACACAATTGATTGGAGCGTCGGGGGATTTCTAACTCTAGATGTGGAGATCACTCTTTTGAATCCCACCAACTGCATCTAAATAGCTTTGGATTACGGTTATTTGTATAGGCACAAAATCTTTACTTTTTTTTCCTGATTCCGCCGGATCTCCACGCCCAAAAAAGGGACGGAAATGTTGCCTCGATCCATGGGACTCTCGGCCCCGTCTAGTGGACATCTAGGCCTTTGCTTCACCAAGGTTATGTCTTTCTTTTCTTTTTTCCTTCAAATTGATATTGTTTACATATATTACTCATTCTTCCTATATATAATAAATATTCCTGATTTGTTTATATTAAAATCATATTTTCAAATTTTTTGTAATAATTGGTTTATATAATCTTTTGTCTGGTTCTTTCTACTTAGGAGTTAAAATAAAATGGAGAAGGCTATTTGAAGGTGTTTTATTAGTAACATTTAAGGTCATAATGATGAAACAGTTTTGCGGGGTCAATCGTGTAAGGTGGGGATGGGGGCAAGATGTTTAGGGTGCAGGGCAAGGCTAAGGAAAAAGGGTGGGTCAGTTTCAAGATTTGTCGGCTTCCGGTCTAGAATCGGAAACCGAATCTGTGACCCTTAACTGGTCAATCGTGAAACTGTTCGTCCTTGAATCGACCGGTTTCAGTACAGTTCCCGATTCTATCTAGGAACCGGTTTTATGAATCGGTCAATTTAGGTCGGTTCAGCCCAATTCCCGAGTTGAAATTTTCTACATTCGGAAACTAAACCCTACCGAAGATAATATTAGGGGTGATCAATTCCCAATTCCACGTTCGGTCCGGTTCCGAGGTGGAACCGGGAACCAAACTAAGAGGATCAGTTCCCAATTTTGAGAATAGGAGACCGAACCGATTGGTCCTATGACAGGGAACCGGACTAGACCACGGTCCGATTTCGCTCCGGTCCAATGGAACCGGTTGTTTTTTTTTATTTTTTTCCCACCACAATGAGAGAGAGCGACGAATCTCAATGTATTGACAGAAGCGACAATGAGTAAAAAGTCATTGTAGTGCGACGATAAAGGAAAAGCA